CATGTTTTTCTACCTGCACAGAAATGCACATTGGCTTCATCGGGTATGTGGGTTGAAGTAGTAAAACTTACGCATAAATTGAACATCAAAACAAATTGAACTTGAATTCAAATTTGATTCATCTGCAGATTTTTTGTAAAGGCCGAAGTAAATGCGAGTAATCAAATGGCAGAAACTACGACAGTGACAATTGGAATGAATGGTCAGCCAAAGAACTCAAATGAGATGTGTGAACGTGCACATTCAAATTTTTCGTTAAAGCAAACGATAAATTTGAATGGATCTGGAAGTTTTATTTCAAATTCATTAATTGTGGATTTGCTGTGAGCACAGTGACTGTTTCAATCTAGGTTTCAATACTTTCAATTCTCTTTTTTGTTTGTTGATCAACGAACATTTTGATATTAGCTATGTATACCATCCATTGTGCGAAAATTGTCTATCGTTTGAAAAAAATTGCTTTAGTTGATATTGCAAAATCTTGTTTTTCATACTTTTTCATTCAAAAATAGACGTTAATTTATTTACTTGAATGTACTGACAGTTTTTTTTTCTTACAAAGTTAACTATTTGTTTATCCCATTAAATACCAGGGTTCTTATCGGTTCTTATTAAAGAATTGGCTGATTGGCAAATGTGAATGGCATTTTTCTCAAACTAGGAGAAATTTAGTGATCGATTTGGTTCATGCAAATGTAAAAAATATTTTAAAATTAAGTTTAGGTAAATTCATGCAATGTTTTAACATAGTCCGCTAAAAATGGTTTCTTTTGTCATAAAATTGGATGCTAATGACTTAAACTGAATTAAAACTGAGTCAACTTATTGACTTCTTATATCCTATGTGTTGATTAAGCTCTTGAGCTCACTCCCAAAAGTTGATCACCGATTCACTGCTCAGCACAATCGTCCACGGCAATTTTGTGCCCCGCAACTGCATAGAGTATGGTACCTTTCATTCAAATCATAGTGATAATTGAACGTTAATTCTTCGCCGGCTTTTACTAGGTCCTTGGTGAAAAATGCAATGACTGGAAAACGTTCATCATCACCAATGAACACGCGCTGCTCAAACATGTTTGGGTTGCACGAATGCTGGAATTTAAAAGTATGGTTTCCATAATAGTTCCAGCCAAAATTTTAACAACAAAATCATTCTGACTGACACTAGAACTTACATTAAAGAATCGTGAAATGTTGCCAGAATAAAGGCTATCAACCACAAATTCTTCTATTTCTTCTGTATTTTCTTCGGATTCCGAATCAGATTCTGATTCGGAGTCGTTTGCATCAAGCCATGTGACCACCTTGGGAAAAAAGTTGAGAAAATCTTGAACAACTTCATCACTGTCGAGTCGACCTCGTTTCGGATTCGACGATGATAATGATGTCTTTCGTTCAACAGACCGTTCACCTAATGGATTTTCAAATTAAAGTAAAAATTCACATGAAATGATTGAATTCAAAACAAAATCTGAAAAACTCGCAAAATTGAGTAAAACGCACCCATTGAAAAATGATAGCGATGATTCAATCGGCTTACAGCGGTTTCATTGTCAATTATCTCGCCAATGTAGCTTGCGACGTAGGTGCCGCGCGGTAAATCGGTCAATGTACGTACGCCGCGGCCTTTTGACGCCGTTTGGAACAATTGCAATTTGAGCTGTAAACCTCTTTGAACCAGTCGATTTTCGCATTTGTTCGCATTGCATTTGCATTCAGGGCCACATTCAACGATTCCACTGACCGTGTGATTCAATCGGAAATTCTTGTAGCCAACGGCCTTGTTTTTAGACAGATCTTTTGAATTTGGATTAATCGGCCGTTCGAGCATCTTTTCGATGGTGAGACGCCAACAGCTGCATTTTTCCTTGTCAACACAGTTGTTGGCACAGTTACAGCAACGATTCAGGTTTTTCTTCAATTCGATGTCTTTTATGGCCAACTTATTTTCAGTGATATAGTTGAATTCCTTGTCCAACTCAAGACCACCGTCACAGATGGAAATCGGTAAATTGTCACGGTCAATGATCTGAAACATGAATTTTTCGATTTTCAATTGGATTGAAGATAAATTATTCATGAAAAAGATCAAAATTACCGCAACAGTCCGATATGGCAATTGGCGATTTTCAGATGGTTGAAAGCCTTTTTCCAAGGAAAATGATTCGATGCGCAGCTTTGAGTCGACTTTTGTTAAATATTCCCGTATGGCGCCATATGTTCTTAGTTTGCGATTGCATGGTGATTTATAGAACGGTGGTCCTGATTCAGTGTCCATGAAATGTTTGAAACCAACTGCCAATGGTCGATGGAATAGGCTGAATTTTTCGATTTGTGTTCCATCTTCCAGCCGCACACAATCATGGTTACATTCATGATTTCGATGCCATGACCAACCATTGGGCTCAGGCGCTTGTTTGTTTCTTCGTGATGCACGGACTGGCACTGAACATCGTTCAATCATGATGCAGTCTTCATCGTTCGTACTGTAATCGGTTTCGAAATGCGTGAAATGGAACAATTTATCAAGCATTTTTCTTTCGATCAATTTCCGCCACACTTGTTCGATCCGGGGTGAACCCAAATACAACCATTCATATCGATCCGGTTGTTCGTCTTGCATGAAACGAAATTGAGCCAGCGGTAGATCAATTTCGGTCGTTGCCGCTTGAACCCACTTGCCATTCAGTTCGATTGACACCACTTCGCCGA